TTCCTGCTCTGGGTACTCCGCTGGAACCTTGGTTTCGTGAGTCTGGTTTTGTCATTAAACTTGTTCAAATACCTATTATTATTGGTCTTCATTAATCCAAACCGCCACAGATCATCTCCAGTCAGGACTTGATCATAATTCTAAATTTTCTTTAGGTCTCCATAAGATTATCCGTGCCCCCAATTAGCAGGAAGTAGCCTGAAAAACTACGCCCACATTCCCAAAAAATGTATTATAGATGTTTGCCTTTGTTTAGAAAGTTGGTTACAAGTTGTTATGGATAACGATCAGTAGAAAAGCTAAACTAAGAAGATTTGATTCAGAGTTCTTGTTTTAAAAAATGGGGAAGTGCTATGGGACAATAGTCTGTACCCTGTCACTTGTATTTTAAATAAATGCTGATTGGCCAATAGCCAGGCAAGAAGTATGGGTGGGATAACCAGACAAGAAGTAGAGGTGGGGCAACGAGAATTCTGGGAAGAGGGATGTTTCAGCCTGCAGTCATCACCTACACACAGAGGAAGCCAGACTCAGAGCGAGTGACTGCCTTGCCGAAAAAGGTACCTTTTTTGTGCTAACACAGACAAGAATTATGGGCTAATATAAGAGTTAATAAGAAGCCTGAGCTACCTGCCAACCAGTTTATAATTAATATAGACCTCTGTGTGTTTCTTTAGGACTGAATGACTGTAGGACCTGGTGGGACAGAAACCTCTGTCGACATATGTATGCTTTCTATAACACAGTTACTTTCTCAATAAGGTACCTAACAGCCTGCAATGCTTAGAAACTCTAAATGGCATTTCAGCATTATGCCTAAGGGACCACTTGACACAATTAAGTCGCCAGAAAAGCACAAAGATGCAAAAGATAGCAATAAATGAAGAAAGGCACTTAGTGCTGAGAACTGAGACAAGAAGGCAGACCAGCATTAAAAAGGTTTTTAATGTGTATGTTTTGTCTGCCTGTATGTATGTGTACTATGTGTGTGCTTGGTGCTCAGGAGGTCAGAAGAGAGGGTCAGATCCCTTGGAACTGGAGATACAGATGGTCGTGAGTCACTTTGTAGCAGCTAGGAACCAAAGCGAGGTTCATTTTGTGAGTAGCTAATGCTCTGCACCACCACCAGCCTTGCACACCATCATTTTGAACTCAGCGGGGAACTTACACTTTGGTTGACTTAGTTTTCGTTACTCTGCACATGTCTACAAGTGTCCATTTTTGGGTTAAGAGATAATTTTTTCTGAGCAGGCCAGTTCACAGACACAGAACTGGAATCTATAGGAAGGAGTGCTTGTGTGTTCATTGCAGCATGCCTATGTCTACCATCTAAGGACATAGGAAAAATGGTAGAAGTTGCATCTTCACTGAGGATTGACTACCGTGTCCCCCCATCTCTCTGGGAACCACCAGAGTTGCTAGGACCCTTCCTTATTAGAGTGCTAAATCCCATGCCTTGAGAAATATCCTCAAATCCACTCACCCAGTCCTATATGCGTTTTTGATGAAGCACCCTTAAAATCGAGTTCTGGGGGAAGCCCTCTGGCATCTGCCAGCACAGACTGGCTATTTCTAATAATCTTGACAAATATTCCCTCCACCTCCTTGGCTAAGTGTAATATCATTGGCCATTGGTGTGAAATTTAACTCGAGTGGCTATCAAAGAAAGCAGGCGTTGGCACTGAGGTGGATGCTTTTGTGGAGGGGCTGCTGTAGCTCCCCACAGCCCAGAGACACCTCCAGTCCCTTAGCAGAATGGAAGATGTTATCTTAGCTACTTATTTTGTTGCAACAAAACACCGGATAAAACAGTTTATTTCCTAAATAAAGGTTTGTTTTGGTCCACCATTTAAGGGTTCCATCCATCATGGCAGGGAAGGCGAGGTGGCATGGACAAGGGGCAGCTAGTCATATTACATCCACAGTCAAGCAGAATGAACGCTCTCTCAGTGTCCTTTCTCTGCTTCATTCAGTCTGAGCCCAGTCTAGTGAGTGGCATTGCCCACATTTAGGACGGGTCTTCCCATCAGTTAACTCACTCTAGAAAGTCTTTTACAGACATGCCCAGAGTTCTCTCTGTGATCGATTCTAAATCTGTCAAATTGACATAGAGATTAACTCCAGATGCCATTCAGCATATACTGCAAAAACTGTGCTTAGTGCCTGCGCAAGCCTGAAGTCACACAGGTGCAAATAATGCATATAACAGTAACTAAGGCTTATTGAGCTCCTGTTGGGTGCCAGCCCTCTTCTACATATTCCATTTCCCTGTCTGAAGAGGCTGCTAGTTTAAAGATATTCATTCTCCCACCCCTCTGGTTTTTCAAGACAGGGTTTTTCTTTGTAACAGCCTTGGCTGTCCTGGAATTTACTCTGTAGACCAGGCTGGTCTTGAACTCAAGAGATTTACCTGCCTCTGCCTCCTGAGTGCTGGGATTAAAGGCATGCACCACTTCTACCTGACAAGATATTTTTTGCTGTTGTTGTTTGAGACAGGGTTTCTCTGTTTAGCCCTCGCTGTCCTGGAACTCACTCTATAGACCAGGCTGGACTTGAACTCACAGAGATACGTTGGCCTCTGCCTCTCGACTGCTGGGATTAGAGGTGTGTGCCATCACTGCCCTGCAAAATATTCTTTATTTTTTTATTTTATTTTTTTAAAATTTATTTATTTATTTATTAAAGATTTCTGTCTCTTCCCCACCACCGCCTCCCATTTCCCTCCCCTCCCCCAACCAAGTCCCCCTCCCTCGTCAGCCCAAAGAGCAATCAGGGTTC